TGTGGGAGGAAACTGGAGCCCCCGGCGGAAACCCACACAAACACGGGGAGGGCATGCGAACTCCACACAGAAAGGACCCACGCCCAGGACCTTCTTGCTGTGAGGCAGTAGCACTAACCATTGCGCTGCCGTGCCTCCCTATGCATAAACAATAAAACCTTATTCAGAAAAAAAACAATTAAAATTAATATATTCAACATTTAGATGAGAATATATTAACAATTATGAAACTGATTGTGCAGAAATATATGTGTAAGACATTTTTTTCAAACAAGTTAGACAAATAAACTATGCTGTGAAACTGAAAATGAACATGTTTCTTTGTTCTCTATGCATGCATCAACCAAACCGGAAGGGGCCTGAGAGCGGTGCTGAGAATCTGCAGCTGTATATTCTTTATTGCCGGGTTCTGTTGTGTGGCCTGAGTAATGGGGTGGCCACTTTAGAGATACTCATGGAGCGTGTCCTGGATCGTGTCCCCTGGAACCAGTATGTTGTCTGCCTCGACGATCTTCTGGTGCACGGTGCTGATTTCACTGGGGCAGTGTGGAATTTAAAGATGGTGTCACCGACCCCCCTGTGCCTGCATATTCAGATCCGTGTTTCCCTTTTATTCTGTACATGGAGGCTAGCAATGAGGGGCTAGCTGTGGTGCTGCTACAGGCAGGCCCCAAAGGGGAGTGCGTGGTTGCGTACTTCAGCTGAACGCTAAGAAGGGAGGAGTGCAACTACCGTGTGACCTGACTGAAGCTGTCAGCCCATGTAGGCACTTTCGCCCATATCTCTGCGGCTGGTGGTTACGATTGAGCATGGACCACACGTCCCTGGCATGGCTCCTGAGCTTACGCAACCCACAGGAACAGTTGGCCCGCTGGTTAGAAGTGCCGGTGGAGTTTGACTTTGAGGTCCAACGTTGCCTCGGGAAGCTGCACAGGAACGCAGACGCTCTGTCTTGCCAGCCCTGTGACACCAGCAGCTCATTGCAGAGCAATGCAGCAACCCCTTGCTGGCCAGGGTAAGGGAATGGCTGGGTGAGGGCAGGTAACCAGGCTGGGAGGTGATCACAGTCTCCGGCCTGGAAACCAAGGCCTACCGCTCCCAATGGGACACCCTGGAAGAGTACGAGGGTCTGCTGCATCAGTGCTGGTGATTGCCGGACGGTGCAGGGGAACTGCCGGTGGAGCCGGTGGAGCCGCACCCTCCAGAGTGAAAACGACACTGGGGAAACTGGGCCAGATTTCTTTAGCCTGCGGCATTTCTACTGACCCGGCTGCTGGCAAGACACCAAACTGTTTGTTCATTGCTGTGATGTGTGCATGGCTCAGAAGGGCCCTAGATGGCAGTCCTGGGCTCCTCTGCAGCCGTACCTGAGGGGGCGCTATGATATATTAGTCAGCACTTCATAAGGCATGCAGAATGTAATCATTAGGACACTATTAAGAAGCTGATGTAAACCGTGTAGAGCACTGATCATCAACTGGCGGCCCGCGGCCCGAATGCTGAGCCGTTCAATCCGACCCGCGACTGCATTCCAAAATTGTGAGGATCAAAAAGAAAATAGTGGTCCACACTATTAAAGCAACTAAAAATAACAACAACTGAGTCTCTTGTCAGAATAACCACCATTTATGACTATATTTAGGCTACACTCCGAAATGAGGACAGACTCAGACAGACTATGCGGCGTTAAGCATTTATTGTTTCAAACAGGTCCGGCCCCCAAGGAGACTGTCTGGTAAAACTCTGGCCCTCTGACAAATATAGTTGATGACCCCTGGTGTAGAGTGTGACCTTGTAACCTTCAGAGAATGCAGACCAATTACCGCTGTGCACAAGGTGACGAAAAACAAGTATGAATTAGCACCTTGTGTTGGCTTAGAAGTTTGTATATCTGTTAGCTATCTTATGTTAGCCTTTGATGTATGAATATGTACTTTATTAGTGCTGCAGCTTTCACTATGTTGAAGGACAAATATGCTATCAACCCTCTAGCCAGACAATGTACAACAAGCTACTGAAGTTACTGAAGGGAAGGGATTTGCCTGAGTTCACCAAAAGTTGAATTTAAAAAAACTGATTAGAGATGGTCATGCGATAATTATGTTCAGCCGAGGGACCAAATAGTAAAAGAAATGATTGACAAACTTATCATCTAGGGGTGTGGATCGAGGGAGAGCTGCTGGCGACACTGGGACTGGACTACCGGCACCAGCTCCGGGAGCGCATGCACGTCGTACACGAGCTGGGCAGGGATCATCAGGACGTGGCCACGGCCAGACAGAAATGTACCGATGACGTCTGCTGCTGGGGACAGGCCTTTCAGCCTGGGGACTCTATTTGGGTGGACTGTCCCATGCAGGACAAGAAGGGATGGTCACCCAAACTCGAAAGCCACTTGGAGGTGGAGTGGATCTCCAAGGCAGTATACAGGGTGCGGATGCCATGGTGGTGCAGCACTGTGGCATTACATCACGACCGCCTGGCACCATACCAACTGCTGGCCCACTCAGAGAGGCCATCGTCAAGACCTGGGGTGAGTACGTGGGCAGCTGGGACTGAGTAGGATGGTGGGAGCCTTTCTGCTGCCTGGATCGCTTTTGATCCTTTATGGCAGTACCAGGACAGGTAACCCCAATGTAACACTGGCAGGACCCCTTGGGCAACCATGTACATAATGTGAATTATGTACATGGTGTATCGTTAGCATCTGTTGAGTCTCGTTATTTGTTGTAAATAGTGGTGTGTGCAGGTGCCCACCATGTGTGCTAGGAGTAATCAGGGCGATTAGCACAGTGGGCAGTGTGTATGCGTGTTGAGTGAGTTGCAAATAATTGAATTCTACTGTTGAATTTGCTGATTGCTTATTACTATTAACAAGACACACAATGTATGGCACCTGGGCTGCACTATGCTTTATGGCAAAGTTCACCCCTGAGTGAGAGGTGAGATCAACCCAGCCCTACCCCTGCTCTCAATGTCGTACTTCTGTGTGGTAGCCATTCCGATCAGCAGCGTTTTGTGTTTGAAGCCGGTTTCAATAAAGCGTCATGAAAGTCTCAGAAATAAGTGGCTGAATTCGCATGTGCGCTTTTAGCATTCTGAAACCTGTTGTACATTTGAAAATATGTTGTCACAAAAACACACACACCCAAGTTGTGAGGAATCTGTACAAATAGAAAGTTCGTTCAGGCAAATATTCATGTATTTGTACAAATCACTCCACATATTCCAAATTAAAATTTACAAGACACGAGTTGAGAGATATGCGTGGGTATTAAAACATTAAGTGTCTGTTACACACGGATCAGGCTACATGCATTTGTCAGTAATATTGAGACTAATCTCTCTCTTGGCTTTGTCTTTTCCTTTAGAGCGCTCAGATCCGCCCACGCTCTGAAAAGAACCATCCGCTCTTAATTCGCTTAGAGTTTTCGACCGTATCGCCTTCATCGTTGCAACTGAGTGAATTCAGGATGAATTCATTTTATCAGATTTTTGTTTTCCTGCCAGGTAAATATATGTGTTCCATTAATGTTTCATACGATTTATAAGGTTTAAAGCGTAAAAGCGTGGGCAAATTGTCACAGAGAGAATACGGAAATATGGATAAATATCTTGAGTTGTTCTACTAGAAATCGATGTAACTGGTGTAACATCTTTACAGTTTACTTTGTATTTGAAATTGAATGAATATTTGAGATGTTTTCTATTATACATGAACATCAAGTTTCTCTTTACTTTTAATTAACGGAGGGCTGCGGTTTGCACATGCGTCGAAGATCAAAGAAGTGCGGGGATATGTAGGAGGAAAAGTGAACATCGATTGTCCGTATCCAGCCGATTACATACACGTTGCCAAGTACTGGTGTCAAGATCCCTGTAAAGATGCGGATGTTCTTGTTAAATCTGAGAAGTCAGACACCTACATTTCCAAAGGAAGATTTTCTCTGTACGACAATTCTAACGGACGGTCATTCAGGGTCACCATAAAAAAACTGACTCTGGAGGATGCTGGGATGTATTACTGTGGAGTAGCAAAATGGGGGAAAGACATATACACAGAAGTTCATGTCAATGTCAGTGAAGGTATGTAATCTTTAAGTTATCTGGGATCTTATTTTAACGTACGTTTGTATTTGCTTGATTTAATGTAACTGTTATAATGTAGTTGATATAATCTGCACCATATGCGCTGAACTGTATTCGTCTAAACTCAGCTTCTCCAGCTACTACAGTTGTTCCCCAAACTGATCCAGCAACGAGGCTGTTAACTCTGCCGGACCGATCCATGCTGGTCACACAGCGCCATGTCACTCAGCTCTCCACAGGTATGTTACATGGCCACGGTGGGCTAGGGCCAGATTTCTTTTGCCTGATTTAAATGAACAGCGTGTTCAGATATCCTGGCTTAGACAGAACAGGTTTTTGTGTGTTTTAAGATCCTACTGCCACCATTGTGATTAAGTTACATGATGTTACTGCAGTGAAAGCCACTCCTACACCGCTACACTTTAATACTAATCTTCAGATTGTTGTGACTTTCATAATTTGCAATGTAGTCATATGGCTTAGCACAGAGCTGGACTAGGATTAAAGTTTGGTCAATAAATTTTGCCATGCAGACGGGAAAATGCTCTGTATGCCAGATGAGCAGTCCAGCCCTGGCTGCAATTATACAAGTGTCTGTAGTACAAAACTTAGTATTTTATAGGGCTGCTGCGATTAATTGATGTAGTCGATGATGTCGATGCTGAAGATGCTTCGACATCAATATTTGAAATCTACGCATCTTTTTAAAAATTCTTCTAATGAAAGTTTTGATGGCATACTAAGTGGCACTAGCTGTATGCATAAGCACCAGAAGAGAAAATGCACAGGTGCTGTTCTGGAGGATGGACTGCCAGAGTTGGCAAAACTACTGAAAATGCGGTCCATTCATGTTTATTAAATTACAGTACCATTAGTATGAAGAGCATTTCATTTTTTTTTTTTGTCACTGTAGCTGTTAAATACACTCATTATTAAAGCCATAAAGTTGTCTGCCTGTTACCTTAGAATCTCCATTGAATAAGTGTGAAAATGTTTAGGCTAGAATCTCGGCTTATTCTATGTTGATTGATGTAGCCAGTGTGTGTGTTTCTGTGCATTGGGCTTGTTGATACCCTTGTTACTATCGTAAACTAAAACAAACAAAAACTGACACTAAATAACAAACTGCCAACATCTCCATTTTTAAAAAGATGTTGTGCCCTATTTCCCAAAGGCGCAAAGTGTGACGCAAAGTGGTTTTGCTAGTTTTGTACCTGTGCATTGCTTATTTTCATGCCATGCATGTCGTCAAAATAGCAAATGATTTTGCGCCCACTTTCCGCTCGTTTTTTTTTAGAGAACAAACTACCATTAAGCAAATCTTTCAAGTTCATCATCAGAATTAAGCAAGTACTGTAATTGAAAAGACATTTGGATTGGTGAAAATATTTAGATAAGTTAGGTGGAACATTACAATGCAGCCCTCAGAAGGTCGCAGCATTCTTTGTGGCATGTTGTGTGTTGTGTAACATTGTCATGCATGATGGATGTCTGATGGACATAAATGAGGACACATTAGAGAACTTGATTAAGTGATGCTGAACTGCATGTGCCGATGCCAAAAAAGGAGTGTATGCTGGCGGCAGTGTGGGCAAGGAGGGATTAGCAGGCAGAAAAGCTGAATCATCTGTAGCCTGGTAAGGAATTTAAATTGTGAGATGTGGAACAATAACAGCCCTATTGCCTTTTATTTGAATATTTTAAAACACCTTAAAAACTGTAGGTTGTGTTTTGTTTGAATAAAGATTGCACTTTCATTTTGCGAACTGCTGACCCAAAATGAAAATAAAAAAACACACAAGCATAATTAAGTCCCCATTTCCAGTCACTGCTCTCCTTCAGCAGTCAACTTCTGTCTCCCCCATGTTCTGATATCATTATATTGCTTTTGGCATGCCACCGATATGACCCTGAAGGTTGTCGAGGGTTGTGTTGGTGTTGCCAGTGTTCCCAGAAGGAGGTGTTTCATCTTGCACAATACCCTGGATATTATCAAGAGGAGTCACAGCGCACGACTTGGTGGCAACTCCAGTCTGTACCGGGAACTGAGGAGGACGAGTGTCAGGGCTCTGGAAGCAGATAAGTGTCACAAGTGTAAGCGCCCGGAGCACAGACAAAGGGGCAGGAATCTAGGGATCGAGAACATGAGGTTTAATTAAAGCACTGGTAGGCATAAACACAGACAATACAGGCTGACAATACAATGACCGGACTCCGGAAACAAACGGAAACGCGGACTAAATAAAATGAACTAATGACAACAATCAGAAACAGCTGTAAAACACTGGGATTTCACATGAGGTTAATTTGGGGGCGTGGCACACGAGAGGAGCAGACGATCGGGGCATGACAGAACCCCCCCCCAAAGGCGCACACTCCGGGCGCGCCCCAGGGCAGGCGAGGGACGTGACGAGACAGGGGACGCGGGACCTGGAGAGACAAAAGCAAAAAAAAACTCAACGGGGCATAGGGAACAAGACAGACACGCAGAACAGACACAGGGACAGCAACTCAGACAACCACCGACAAACCACAGGGAAAGCAGACAGACAGACCAGAAAGGGAGACACAAGGGGAACACCGACAGGCGGAACAAAAGGGGCAGGAGTGAACGCAGGAGAAACAGGAGGACGAGGAGCAGACACAGGGGGCACAAAGGCAAAGGGCGGGGGGAAACAGGGAGCCCGAAGGAGCCCAGGCGGGCGAAGGGCAGCGGCCGGAGGGGCCACAGGCGAGGGGAAGAAGGGAGCAGGAGGGAACCACACAGGGGCCGAGGGAACAGGACGAGGGAGAGACGGAGGGGACACGGAGGTGGCAGGAGGGAACAGCGGCGAAGGCAGGCAGGAGGGGGAAGCCGCGGCAGGTGACGGCGCAGCCAGAGCCGGCGAAGGTGCCGTCCGACGCCCCGCCGAAGCAGGGGGGCCCGGAGGCGACCTACACGGAGCCGGAGGCGACGCCGAGGACCGGCACCGGGGGGGAACCCGGAGGGGACCGCCGACCCGGAGCCGGAGGACCTGCAGGCAGCCCCCGAGCGACAGCAAGGGGCCAAACGGGCGAGCCAGGGGGCAGGGCGGGTGGGACCCGGGCCCGACGCAGGTGTCCCCGCCCTTTCCGGGAGACAGAGAGGCGGGGACCCGGCCGGGGTTTGTCACCCTGGGGTGACAGTGGAGGAGTCACGGGGGCAGTCACAGGGGAAGCCACGGGGGTAGCCAAGGCAATCCCCGAAGGGGTCCCACTCAAGCTCCTCCTCCAAGTCCACTATGGAGGGAGGAGCATCCGTG